CAAGTCGCCCCACTCAGCCCGCTGCAGGCCTAGGTGAACAGAACCCCAGGCTGGAAGCGGGCTGAGCAGGCTGGTGGCGTAAGATCAACATTTTAATTTAATTTTAAAGGAAGCTTCTTAAACATTTTGAAAACCTTGTTTACTTTACATACAACAATAGTTTAGTTATATAATATAGATTTATAGAGCGAGACCTTCTAAAAAACGTTAACACGTATTACCAGCACGCGAAACCTTAAATTAAAGTGAATAAATGAAGACTCGGCACACCACTTCTGAAAGGTTTCCTACCCCTGGATTAGAGTTTTAGGATGAATATTTCACTGGAAATTGGTCAGGTAGATGCAGTTCAAGAATTTTTAAAATCTCCATTCAATATGTTTTTGACAGAAGACCGAAGTCACAATTCATTCAATATGGTTTTGTAATTACGCAGCAAGAAGTCAGGAAATCACTTTTAGGCTACTCCTTCAGCAATGGCAATCTTGAACAAAATGCTTCTACGTATTTGTCCCAGTTACAAGGTTAGCTGCACCTCTATTACTCATCTGGGCTCTCTGAGCTCACACCCTCAAGTTCCAAGCCCTGAGCCTTCACCTCTCTGTGGAATCCTGCACTTCTTCCACTCTTAGGCCAGGCCCTGGGCCTGCAGTGCACTATGCATGCACCATGCTTACCCGGCAGGTGTGAATGGGTTCAGCACCTGCAGTTCTCCTCTTTGATGGGGAGGGATAGCTCAGTGGTTTGAGCATTGGCCTACTAAATCCAGGGTTGTGAGTTCAATCCTTGAGGGGGCCACTTAGGGATCTGGGGCAAAATCAGTACTTGGTCCTGCTAGTGAAGGCAGGGGGCTGCACTCAATGACCTTCCAAGGTCCCTTCCAGTTCTAGGAGATAGGATATCTCCATTAATTTATTTATTTGGGAACTGGTGACCAGTGGTAAACACAGTGACGCAGAACAGACTTCTTAAAACAAAGTATTGTCTAGATCTAGACTTTAAAATTAGGTACAAAGCATTACATAAATTCTCTTATGTATTTAAAAAAACTATAAAAGGTCTATACACATATCTTCCTTACCTAAGGCTTGCCATACCCCCAGGCTGCTTAAGAAGGCCTCACTTTTTCAGATTCTCAAGCATGTGTCAGACTGTTCTCTGCAAACAACTTCCTGACAACTGCCTGACCTCTGGTCAGAGAGAGCCTTTCTAATTCTTCACTGTCCTTTTGATCTGTTCAATTCCCAGCACTAGCAAAAACATGTCCCAGCCAAGTTAAAGCTTGATCTTCACAGTTAACAAATGACTGCTTCTTGGAGCAGCTAGTCCTGGAACCCACAAGCAGAGAGGCAATTCTAGATCTAGTCCTAAGTGGATCTGGTCCAAGAGGTGAATATAGCTGAACCGCTTGGTAATAGTGACCATAATATAATTATATTTAATATCCCTCTGGTGAAGAAAACACCATAGCCGCCTAACATGGCAGCATTTAAATTACAGAAAGGGGATCTACACAACAATGAGGAAGTTAGTAAAACAGAAATTAAAAGGCACAGCGCCAAAAGTGAAATCCCTGCAAGCATGGAAACTTTTTAAAGACACCATAATAGACGCTCAACTTAAACGTTTACCCCAAATTTAAAAAAAACATAGGAAGGAAACCAAAAAAGTGCCACCGTGGCTAAACAATTAAGTAAAAGAAGCAATGAGACACAAAAAGGCATCCTTTTAAAAGTGGAAGTTAAATCCTATAGAGGAAAATAGAAAGGAGCATAAACTCTGGAAACAAAGGGTAGGAATGGTCAGTTTTCAGAATGGAGAGAGGTAAATAGTGGTGTTCCCAAGGGGTCTGTGCTGGGACCAGTCCTATTCAACATATTCATAAATGATCTGGAAAAAGGGGTAAACAGTGAGCTGGAAAATTTGCAGATGATACAAAACTATTCAAGATAGTTAAATCCAAAGCAGACTGCGAAGAGTTACAAAGGGATCTCACACAACTGGGTGACTGAGCAACAAAATGGCAGATGAAATTCAATGTTGATAAATGCACATTGGAAAACATAATCCCAACTATATATATGGTGGGGTCTAAATTAGCTCTTACCACTCAAGAAAGATCTTGGAGTCATTGTGGGTAGTTTTCTGAAAACATCCACTCAATGTGCAGCGGCCATCAAAAAAGTTAACAGAACGTTGGGAATCATTAAGAAAGGGGTTGATAAGAAGACAGAAAATATCATGTTGCCACTACCTAAATCTATGGTACGCCCACACCTTGAATACCGCATGCAAAGATGGTCACCCCATCTCCAAAAAAGATATATTAGAATTAGAAAAGGTACAGAAAAGGGCAACAAAAATTATTAGGGGTCTGGAACAACTTCCATATGAGAAGAGATTAATAAAACTGGGACTTTTCAGCTTGGAAAAGAGATTACGAAGGGGAGATATGATAGAGGTCTATAAAATCATGACTGGTATGGAGAAAGTAAATAAGGAAGTGTTATTTACTCCTTCTCATAACACAAGAACTAGGGGTCACCAAATGAAATTAATAGGCAGCAGGTTTAAAACAAACAAAAGGAAATATATCTTCATACAATGCACTGTCAATCTTTGGAACTCCTTGCCAGAGGATGTTGTGAAGGCCAATACTAGATAAATTCATGGAGGATAGGTCCATCAATGGCTATTAGCCAGGATGGGCAGGGATGGTGTCCCTAGGCTCTGTTTGCCAGAAGCTGGGACTGGGTAATGGGGATGGATCACTTGATTACCTGTTCTGTTCATTCCCTCTGAAGCACCTGGCATTAGCCATTGTCTGAAGACAGGGTACTGGGCTAGATGGACCTTTGGTCTGACCCAGTATGACTGTTCTTAATGCCCGAGGTATTAAGAACATAAAACTAGTCATAGTCTCTTAGTTCTCTTCAAGTGTTTACTCAGAGGTGTTTTGTTTTCAAACAACCAGCTATTTAACTAAACCAATATATGCATACAATAAACATCACAATAATCCAAGATAGCCATACAGTAACTAGCCCCAAAACCAGATTAAACATGGTTTTCAAGAATTATTACAGATCAGCCCCACAGCCTTCAAGATGGCATCAAGCTGTGGAAAATTGAAGAATGTTTTCAATCCTGACTGCGAATGCAGAGTTAATCCAGACAGCACCTTGCAATGGGCAATGAGAAGTAAGGGGTTAGGGTCTCCCTTCCAAATGCCCCAAAGCATAGAATCATATGATTCTGGGAAAGCTGGGAATTGATCCTGCTTTGAGCAGGGGGTTGGACTAGATGACCTCTTGAGGTCCCTTCCAACTCTGATATTCTATGATTCTATGATTCATAGGACTGGAAGGGACCTCGAGAGGTCATCTAATCCAGTGCCCTGACTCAAGGCAGGACTAAGTATTATCTAGACCATCCCTAACAGCTGTTTGTCTAAACCAGGGGTCGGCAACCTACGGCACGTGTGCCAAACACGGCACGTGAGCCGATTCTGAGTGGCACGCTGCCTGCCCGGTGAGGAGGAGGAGGGTCCGGAATGCACCACACTGGGGGAAGAAGCGGGGGAAGAGGGAAACTTGGCTGCCGCAGGATCAAGCTTCTGCCTCCTGCCCCTGCAGGGGGGAGTGGA